GTTCAGGAGATGCATTCCATCACCTTCAGACACCCTGCAAGCCAGCCACATGACATCCTTGTAAGATAATGTGAGAACTGTGGATTAAATGCTTTCACCAGGGTGTCGGTAGGGAAATCCCCCCTCCCTTGTACCAATGTGTGGCCGTAGTTAGGGTCGATATAGGTGACTAGCACCCAAGAATTGTAAACCGCCCAGAGACCCCTACGGGGGTTAGGGCGGTATATCAAGTCGAAGGATAAATAAATAAATAAATCCATCAGCACAAAATTGGGATGGTATGGGATGGTACAATAGCAAAGACTATGATTTACCCAAATGGCACAGTTGAACTGTTTATTTTATTAGATTTTTATCCTGCCCCTCCCCCAGAGGTGGGCTTGGAGTGGCTAACATAGCAATACAGTAGCAATAATAAAACCATAATTTCAATAAAAATCCAATTAAAAACTCAGTAAACACAAATTAATGCTTTGGGCATAAAATATCAACAGTGTTGATGGTAAAGGTAAAGGTAAAGGTTCCCTTGCTCGAAAGCCAGTCGAGTCCGACTCTAGGGTTGCGGTGCTCATCTCCGTTTCAAAGCCGAAGAGCCAGCACTGTCCGAAGACATTCCCGTGGTCATGTGGCCGGCATGACTAAACACCAAGGCACACGGAACGCTGTTCCCTTCCCACTGAAGTGGTACCTATTTATCTACTTGCAATTTCTTGCTTTCGAACTGCTAGGTTGGCAGGAGCTGGAACTAGAGACGGGAGCTCACTCCATCATGCGGCACCCAGGTCTCGAACTGCTGAACTACTGACCTTCCACAGCCTGCAGTTCAGCATCTTAACCACTTGAGCCACTGCAGCTGTGTTGATGGTACAGTCCACCAAAATTATGTTTGTGGAATACCTGGTGAACTAGCTTTGTCTTGCACATCCTGCGGAACTCAGGGCCTGCGTCTCCACAGACGAAGCATCCCAGCAGGCTGGGGCCATGATGGAAAAGTTCCTCAACCTGGTCGCCCTCAAATAGGCAAACTGAGGGCCAGGCACCGCCAAAAGCCCACGTGTGGCAGAACAAAGATACCACAGGGGGTCATACTTACATATTGATTACACATTAGACGTGTTTTTGTCTATTTTGCAGAGTCTTCTCTATCCAGCTCTTCATTTATGAAATGATTCACAAAGTGAATATGAGTTTTAAAAAATGGGGAACTTTCTGCAAGATTCAGCCATGGGTTTGGTCTTCCTAGGCCCCGGTCACACAGGCCGGATATTGCGGGGGGAGGCGTGGCTGTTTGCCCCGGAGTGAACTACCGCACGGCAGCCAGATCAAACGTCCCACCCGACTTCCCACCGACGTCCCGTGGTTCGGGGGAGGTGCCGATCATACCTCACTCCTGCGGCGCGGCAAAGAAGCGGCGCCGCGGGGGTTGTGTTGTATTTTTAACCCAAGTGTTCGCATGCGCCGTTGGGTGCTTGTGCGCACCCGTGGAGACTTCACAAAAAAAAAAACACTTTTCGGACAGGACATGGGCGGGCACCGGATGCCACGAGCTAACACCGGAAACGTGATCTGACGCCCGCCCTTGCCCCGCAGTTTCCAGAAACTAGTACCTCGGAGGTACTAGTTTTTTACGGCGCATCTTCGGACTGAAGCCTTGGGTGAGCCACGGGAGCTCTACACTTCCCAGATGTGGCGGTGAGATCATGCCCGGAAAATCCGCCTATCTTCTGTCTCTCTAGCAATGCTCCGTGTGACCGGGGCCCAAGTCATGTGAAGGGAAAATTGGACAATACCCCTACCCCTTCCAAGTGCTGAGTCTCTTTAGACTTCTGCTGTTGCCAGGAGGGAGGAAAGATGGCTAGAATTGCCTATCTTTGCCCTTCATCTAACATGCAGAATTTATGGGCCCAGCTCAAGAGACTGGCAAGTTCCATTGGTCACACTTGCACTTATCCGCTCCCCTTTCCTTAAGCACACTGCTTAGGCATGAGCAGGGGAAAGGCGAATCTGAAACAGTAGGGATAAGATGACACCAAACTGGTTCAAACTGCAAACACTTTGGAGGATAGGCCAAACATCCCAAGTGGCAGCGGTCAACTGCAAACCGGGACCAACAGCACCATTACAACATTCAACTTTGATAGAGGTAAGGTTGATGGCTAAATTCAATAGACTGACTTTACTGCAGAAACACGTGGGAGTGACGTAATTGTCAAAGAACATGAGCCGGCAACGCAATCTTGCGACAGAAGAAGCAGGTGGCCTTGTAAAATGTGTTCAGAGCAGCACCACCTCAAAGACCCAGATGAATCATCTGCCTGGGTCTGTTGTAGAACCTCCTTCTTGGAGCTACTTTAGATCAGCGGTCCCCAGTGTGGTATCCATGGGGGCCCATGATGCCCACTATATGTTCCCTAGTACCCACTTCCTTCTTCTCGAAAGCCAAGAGCTAATCCTGTCTTTCCTACTTCAAAATACCCCAGAAGGCATCACCTTTGGGCCAGTTTGGTGTAGTGGTTAAGAGCGCAGACTCTGATCTGGGAGAACTGGGTTTGATTCCCCACTCCTCCACTTACAGCTGCTGGTGTGACCTTGGGTTAGTCACAAGTTCTTTCAGAGCTGCTCTCTCAAGGGCAGTTCTCAAGATACCTCACAGGGTGTCTGTTGTAGGGAGGAGGAGGGAAGGGGATTGTAAGCCACTCTGAGACTCTTTCAGGTAGTGAAGAGCGGGGTATAAGTCCAATCTCTTCTCTTCTTCTTCCAGAAGCATTCATTCAGAAACAGCAGCTTCCCCATGAGAGGACACTTGCTCTCATGGCAGCCATGTTGTGGCAGTAGCCCCTACCTGTTCTCAAAGTTCCAGATGTTCCCAAAAATTCAGAATGCTTTGGGATACCTGGTTGCTGGAACAGGGACTTATTTGAGGGAAGCTCATTAGACAAAGTAAAGAAAAGATTGGATTTATACCCCTCCGGTCACTACCCAAAGGAGTCTCAGAGCGGCTCACAATCTCCTTTCCCTTCCCCTCCCCACAACAGACACCCTGTGTGGTAGGTGTGGCTGAGAGAGCTCTTTCAAGAACGGCTCATGAGAGAATAGCTCTGAAAGAACTTGTGACTGACCCCAGGTCACACCAGCAGCTGCATGTGGAGGAGTGAGGAATCAAGCTCGGTTCTCCCAGATTAGAGTCTGCGCATATAACTATGGTTGATTGAAATATATGCAGATTTATGATATTTTTAAAGCAGATAAGAAAAATTATGGTTTTAGAGCGGACAGAAATGAAGTAGAAACTGTTTGGGAAAGTGGAGGAAGGAAAATGATTTCTAATATGTATAAAATATTGTTGAAATGGTATACTGAAGACGAAACTGTAAAAGGCAAATGATAAAATGGGCAATTAACATGAATAAGGAAGTGACAATAGAATCATGGGAATATTTGTGGAAAAATTCTATAAAAATATCGACCTGTACCAATGTAAGAGAAAATTTTTATAAAATGATGTATAGATGGTACATGACGCCTAAGAAAATAGCAAATATGAATCAGAATATGTCTAGTAAATGCTGGAAATGTAAAAAACACAAGGGCTCATTTTACCATATGTGGTGGACATGTGAAAAAGCTGTGGACTTCTGGACGAAAGTCCACTGCGAAATGCAAAAGATACTGAAATGTTCTTTCAAGAAGGCACCTGAAATTCTGCTCTTAGGACTTAAAATGGAAGAAGTAAACGTAATGAAAAAGACTATGTTCTGGTATTTGATAACAACTGCAAGAATGGTTTATGCGCAATGCTGGAAACAAGAAAAAATACCAGAAATAGAAGACTAGATACAAAAAGTTCTGTTCATGGCAGAAATGGATAAAATAACTAGAAAGTTGAATAGCAAAGAAGACCAAGAATTTTTTGAGGAATGGAGTGACTTTAAAATGTACTTAGAAAAAAACTGGGATGTGAAACAAAATTTACTGTGTTTAGAGCAATATTAAGTTAATTGATGTTATCTTGAGAATTACTGATTTTATGGGACAAAAGGGAGACGCATTGCGGGAAGCCATTTGGGGGAGGGAGGGTAAATGGGATAATTGGTTGACCAAAAATTATGTTAAATTGTTTGAAAATATCCAAGAAAATAAAAGTTTTTAACCAAAAAAAAAAAGAGAGAGTCTGCGCTCCTAACCCCTACACCAAACTGTCTGTTAGAATAATAAGCAACCGTACAATTGTAGCTCTGTGCACATTGTATGGCAAACCGACATGTTATCTCCAGGGCTCCTTTTGTAGAAAAAGTCCAGCAGGAACTCATTAGCATAATAGACCCAACAGCAGAAACTCATAAGCATATTAGGCCACACCCCTGACAACACAGCTCATTAGCATATTGGGCCACACCCCCATGTTACCAGAAGTGTGGTCATCCAGCCACACCCACCTTTTGCATCTTATTCTGTTTACCCTGTTTGTTGTCAAAACCCAGGGCCTTTTCTTGTAGCAGGAACTCCTTTGCAAGTTAGGCCACACACCCCTAACATAGCCAATCCTAATGAGTTTCTGCTGTTGGGTGTGGCCTATTATGCTAATGAGTTCCTGCTGGGCGTAGCCAACTCAGGAGCTAGCCAGAACTCCGTTCCTGTGCGTTCCTGCCCAAAAATAGCCCTGGTTATCTCCCACCACTGCCACCACTTTTGAGGACACCCTACACCCCCGCTATTATTCCTGTTGCTCATTTTTCACTTGAGTCCTGGATCACTCAGTCCCTTCCAATGCAGAGACTGCGAACAAATGCCTGAGGAGGCACAGACAGAACAGCAACTCATACAGGGAAACAACAGCTGGTCTATCCTGGAGGTGGGATGCCTCAGGCAGTTAAACGCTCCAACGGTCAACCTTCTTGAGCATAAAAGTGGCCAGCGTTAGCTCAGAAAGGGTTGGCAGATGACAACGAGATTCACGCGCAGAGTTCCATTTCCCCTATTCTCCTAATTAAATTCCTTACCTAAGATGATCTTGGAATTGTCGTTGGGGAAGTAAGGGAGCGCCTGGAGGTTGGACCAGACCGCAATAAGCGCGTGAGGAAGCGTCGCCAGCTTATTGCTCGAAAGATCGAGGAACGTGAGGTTCTTGACGTACTGGGCGGCTTCGGCTGGTATGGAGACCAGTTCGTTGTTGTGGAGATCCAGTAGCCGCAGCTGGGGCATGCTCAGAAGGGCTTCCCAAGGGAATGAGGCCAGGTCATTCCCTTCCAGTCTCAGCTCATGTAGCCTCCGGAGTCCTCGGAAGTTCGTCACGCTGAGACTCGCCAGAGAGTTATAGGGCATCCAGAGGAACTCCAAGCTGCGGAGCGAGTGGAAAGACTCCCCCGGCACCCTTCGAATGGCCGTCTTCTGGATGCAGAGCTTAAATGTGTCCAAGGGGAAGTTGACAGGCGTGAGGGTCATCTCTGGGTCATTGCACAGGACAGCTCTGGGAAGGGGGGACAAGCATAGCCCTGAAACAACTCTGCAAAACCTGTAAACTTTGTAATGTTCTTTTTTCTTTTCTTAATTTTTTTCCTTTCCTTGTCTCTGGTTGGTGTCCCCCCCCCTTTCTCCCCTTATGACCAATGCTCCCTCTAAGCTGTGTTGTGAGCAAAAAGTCTACTTTGTGAGCTACCGGCAGTAAAGCTGTGAACGAGCCATTTGGCTCCTGCATAAATTAGTTTGCTCTGGAGCCACACTTCCTGAGCTAAGACAAAAACGTGTGAGCCGGAGGCTAAAAAAACTGTAAGCTAGCTCACACTCACTCAGCTTAGAGGGAACACTGCTTATGACCACTTCCCCCCGCTCTAAATGAATGTTCTTTTTTAAAAAAGAAGGCCCAAACCCACAGAAACGGAAAACAAGAAAAACTGAGGTATATGCATACACAGGTGAGAAATGATCAATCCTAATTGCGACCCATACCTGATCAGCTGAATGAACAGTTTGATGAATTACTAAACTAATTCTGCTCCATCTCACAGTTAAAGAGGATTTGCTCTTTGTTGAATGTACCCTCCTCCAATGAATGCACTGACTCCATTTGGGTGGCCAACTCCAGTCTCAGAAATTTCTGGAGATTTGGGGGGTGGACCCAGGGGAGGGCAGGGTTTGGGGAGGGGAGGGACCTCAGTAGTGTATAATGCCATAGAGCCCACCCTCCGAAACAGCCATTTTCTCCAGGGCAACTGGTGTCTGTCGTTCAGAGATCAGCTGTAATTCCAGAAGAAGAGAAGAGATTGGATTTATACCCCGCCCTTCACTTGGAGTCTCAGAGCGGCTTACAAACTCATCTCCCTTCCCCTCCCCACAACAGACACCCTGTGAGGTAGGTGGGGCTGAGCAGGGCTCTTTTTGTAGCAGGTACTCATTTGCATATTAAGCGACACCCTCCTAATGTAGCCAATCCTCCAAGAGCTTACAGTAGCTCCTGTAAGAAGAGCTCTGTCTCTTGGAGGATTGGCTACATTAGGGGTGTGTGGCCTAATATCCAAAGGAGTTCCTGCTACAAAAAGAGCCCTGGAAGAGAGCTCTGACAGAAACTGCTCTTTTTCAAGAACAGCACTTATCAGAACTATGGCTTGCCCAAGGTCATCCCGCAGGTGCAAGTGGAGGAGTGGGGAATCAAACCCGGCTCTCCCAGATTAGAGTCCGCGCACTTAACCACTACACCAAACTGGCTCACGACCCCGCCCGCAGGCTGACAACCCTACCCATCTTATGCAGGGTAACCGGAATGTGAACACACTGCTTCCCCCACCCCCCCAACATTTCAGATCACAGTCAGGAATGCATGCCCTTGGGTGCCATGCATACGTTCCAGGAAGCATATGTAAGTAGGGGGAGGAGACGGTATTCTGATTCATGCTACCCTCTGTCAGGTCGCCCTGTCATGAGTCTGGAATGTGGAGGGGTGCCTTCCTCCTCGTTCTCAACTCTTCCCTGTCCAGCTACCGTGGGCTATCTCTGGCTTGACCTTGTAGTCTCCAGCTGCTTTTACTCTGCTGGGAAAGTAACGGCTTTTCACTGTGCCTGCTTGCTTGCTTTTGCCCCCACGCGCGAACTATAATCATTGGCTCCAGCTCAATGGGGGGGGGGGATGTTTGATATCACTATAAGTCAGAGGCCCTTAATATTGACGGCCATTCCTGACACAAGCTATACACGTGTTCTTTAGTATTGGAATCACTAATAAAGCAGTTATCTTCTTCTGAAGCCCTGTTTGGTGTGACCTGCCTAAAGCCAGGAAACATCTTCCTATTGTGTCTGGATCAGTGTTCCCTCTAAGCTCAGTTAGTGTGAGCTAGCTCACAGTTTTTTAATCTCCAGCTCACACATTTTTGTCTCCGCTCAGGAAGGATGGTTGCAGAGCAAACTAATGTATGCAGCAGCCAAATCGCTCGCTCACAGCTTTAATGCCAGTAGCCGACAAAGTAGAATTTTTGCTCACAAGACTGCACAGCTTAGAGGGAGCATTGGTCAGGATCCCACTATAGCTCATCTTGCAGTTTCCAATAGACACGGGGGGGGGGATTTAAAAAGAGCAGGAAGTAGCTGTCTGATAATCCCTTCCCTAACGAGAATCTAAATTGAATTTTTTTTCTATAACTTAATTTTTTTACAACATTTTTCCAATATCCACACAATAAACAATTGAATTTTTAATTGTCTCAGAACAACTTGGGGCCAAGAAGCAGGCCAAGCAGGAAAAGAAAACATTTCTTTGCTTCCTTCCTGCTGCCAGGTGAATACATGTTTAAACACCAAAGCTTTCTCCGTCTACTAAACGGCATGAGTCGCTGCCGTCTGTTTGACTTCTCACCATTTTAATCTTGCGGTTTCTATTGGATATTGCATAATGTTTTCATGGATGCATCGAATAAGATTTTAGCAGAAAAGCAGTCTCCGAGTTTATCGGACCTCTCTGGATGATTACATAACTGCTCTGAAATCTTTTGACCCTTCCTTGCTAAGGGAGCCAGTGATAAAAAGCCAGTCCCCAACATTCTATATCATTCTAGTGTGACAAAGATCCAGAGACCAGGAAGGGGCTATACAGAGAACTGGTTGAAGGAAAAATAGGAAGGGGGGGGAGCTTTGGCATTCTTCCAAAAACCATCCCTGTGTGCTGTGTCGACTTTTAGGTGACCATTTTCATCCATGGGATCAAAGAAAGTGCTCCTTTGGGGATACTGTGACAATGAAGACATATGTTTCTTCTCTGGGACAGTAATCACATACAGTGTTCCCCCTAAGCAGAGTTAGTGTGAGCTAGCTCATGGTTTTTTAGCCTCCGGCTCACAAATTTTTGCCTTAGCTCAGTAAGGCTGGCTGCAGAGCAAACTAACGTATGCAGTAGCCAAATTGCTCGCTCACCACTTTAATGCAAGTAGCTCATAAAGTAGAATCTTTGCTCACAAGCAGTGTTCCCTCTAAGCTGAGTTCGTGTGAGCTACAGTTTTTTAGCCTCTGGCTCACACATTTTTGTCTCAGCTCAGGAAGGAGGGCTCCGAGTAACCTAACTGATGCAGCAGCCAAACCACTCGCTCACAACTTTGATGCCAGTTGCTCACAAAGTAGAATTGTTGCTCACAAGACTCCACAGCTTAGAGGGAACATTGCAAGACTCCGCAGCTTAGAGGGAGCATACCATTTTATATATGAATTGGTGGAGCTGGAAGGAGATGTTCTGACTTATGGGCAGGGGGTTTGTGCTTTTTACACTGGAAAACCTGAAAACTTTCTGCTGAATTTTGGCTCGGATAACCAAAACGAAATGGGTTGTATAGCATCATAGAAGGAGGTGCTGACTAAGCTACCACCAATGAGAGTCAGCTTTGAGGTTGGGGTGAAGTCTAGATGCAGACGATTAGGAACAAGCATGGAGACAGAAATACTGGACATGAGTCCCTGGCTTGTGGACATTCCTTGGTTTTGTTCCGTTGTTGATACCATGGAGAGCGCAGCTACATTGGGAAGGGCAAGGACAGAGAATCCAAAGTAGACCCCCCCAAATCTGGGGCAGCCCACAAAGCCCACCATGACCCACATCACTAATCTGGAGCTGGGAACAGCACCAGACAAAGTGTGGGGTTAGCCCTCCACTCAGTAGAAAAAGGGTGGCTTGATATGGGTGGGGGAGGACCAACCATGATTAGCGGTGCATGCTATCAACTCAGCAGTGCAAGGGCATGATTGATGCTACGTCTATGTTCTTCCCTCCTCCGCTGTGCACCAACCTTCTCTTTAGAGCAGATACCAAATGTAATATAGGTGGAATCCTTGTGTTTTATGTTGGTGGATATCATCTCAATAAATACCGTTTGGGGGGAAAAAATAAAGTCTCTGATGGGACCATTTGCACTATTTCCAGGGGTCATTTCGTAGAAAAAGAGGTGCAGGAGCTCATTAGCACAACTCATTTGCATAACTCATTTGCATGTGCCACACCCCCTGACATCACCGGAAGTGTGTCAGAAGGCAACACCCACCGCTCAGGCTCCACTGGACTGTTTTGGATTGCTAGCTATTGGGGGGGAGGGAACGTGCAGATCTGCCCTCGCCCCGACTGAGGTGCATGTACCTGAAGGTGGGATGAGGCTGCTTCTTGCTCCTTGTGGCCCGACTGAGGTGCCACACAAAAAAAGAGGTGCAGGAGCTCATTACCACAACTCATTTGCATAACTCATTTGCATGTGCCACACCCCCTGACATCACCGGAAGTGTGTCAGAAGGCAACACTGGACTGTTTTGGATTGCTAGCTATTGTGGGGGGGGGGAACATGCAGATCTGTCCTCGCAGAGGAGGGAGAGCTTGTACCTGAATAAAACTTGGTCTTAAAGGTGCCACTGGACTGTTTTGGACCGGGGGGCTCTGCAACTTACCTGGCTGCTTCTTGCTCTGATGGCTGCTGGGAGCAGTGGGTGGGACTTGTTGCATGTACCCACCCCCTGGGCTCCTTACTGCCAGAGCTCCGCTCCTGCGCGCTCCCACAGGAAATGACCCCTGAATTTCTAAGCATGTCGACTTCCATACACTGAGAAGGATAGTTTCAGTGAGTTGGTCTACATTCCTAATCAGTGCTCCCTCTAAGCTGTGGAGTCTTGTGAGCAAAAAGTCTACTCTGTGAGCCACTGGCATTAAAGTTGTGAGTGAGCGATTTGGCTACTGCATAAATTGCTTTGCTCTGAAGCCATCCCTTCCTGAGTTAAGACAAAAATGTGCAAGCTGGAGGCTAAAAGACTGTGAGCTAGCTCACACTGACTCATCTTAGAGGGAACACTGGTCCTAATCTGCAGTAGAAGACCTCAATTTGAGGCCAGTAGCACCTTAGAAACCGATAAGATTTTCAGGATATAAGCTTTCAAGAGTCAAAGCTCCCTGAGAAGGCTGTAACCCAGCTTAGAATCTGCTATATATTTTGTGATACACTAGTCACCCCAAAGTCTCAGCTCATTCCACAAGGAAACATGGGATCTGCTAGGGAACTAGACCATAAACCCTACAAACAATAACGGCATCACAGTTACATAACTCACATGCTTCTCTGCGAGAAAAAGCAGCGACCCAGTAAGCAAAGGTCACTTTCCAATGCTCCCCATGACCATTTCTCACTTCTCTTACTTGAAAGGTTCTGTTGGAAATGTGCCGTGCGTACACTAGACTCTCGAGCCATGCTGCTCTTGTGTGTGGGTGTCATGGCTACAACTCCAGTGTAAGCCAAATGTAAGCCAGGAATACAGTAGGTAGCCTCAGGTAAACCATGATTTCCTCACCTCAGAAACCCATCTTCCGTCTGGAGACAGGAATAATTCTGACTCGCCTTACAGGATTACAGAGAAGAATATGTGCAAAATGTTTTTTTTTATCCATACTCAGGAGGCATGCTGTAAATGCCAAGCCCTGCGTTTCTATCTTTATTTTCACCCTTATCAGTTTCTACGTGCAGTGCGTAAGGCGGTATGAGGTTAAAACGTGACGTTACGAATGCCGCCAAACCCAGAGCCAATATTCTCAGTCCCTCTACCCTACAAATCGATCTCTAGGGATGTGTTTGGTTTCCTAGACTATATTCTTTTCTATCTTTGTTTGGAGCTCTTCTAAGCAACGTTTCGAGCCAACACCTTTCATGATGAGCTCACCGTGTTTCCTTCCAAAAACAGGGAGAATCTGTTGCCATTTTTCTAATTTTGCTCTGCTCTGATACAGACGTTCATAGAATCTTCATGCTACAGCTGGTTTTGAATAATCATGGACATGGAAGGTTGGTAAATAAGTGGCATGCATATGTTTAAGCCTTTTTAAAATAAATAGAGGCTCTATATGTTGTCAAAGGCTCTGACAAACAAAGTTCATTAGCTGTTGTAGATTTTCCGGGTTGTATGGCTGTGGTCGTATCCTACACTGCCAAGACCACGGCCATACAACCCGGAAAATCTACAACAGCTAACAAATAGGGGGCCCATTATACTTGTTATACATCCAGTGTGGCTAAGCAACTCCTGTAAAGACACCGTTTCCCCCTTTGCATCGATATTCCAAGAGCTTTGTGTTTGTCCTCTCTTCTGCCTCCCCAGCATTGGACGAATGTTAATTATATTGCTTCCACTCTGGTATGGAAGATCATCAAATGCCATCTCTGAAATCAGATTACAGTGTGCTCTGCAGCTAATCCCGCTGTGCGTAAAGCCACAGAACAGAGCGATTGGGAGAACCATCTTTGCATCAAACAGCCGCACAGCGTAACCTGCATCTGTTTATGGTTCCGACTCAGGCCGTGGACAAGCCGGGTTCGACGAGAACCCCCTCTCCTGCCCTTACACTTCCCGAACATTCAATCATTAAAACAAACGTGCGCGCACGTACCTGGCTTTCGTTCCTTCGTCGATGCTGTGGAAAGTGCAACTGCACTGGGAAGGACAGGAACCGAGAGCCGGCGGCAGCCCCCCAAATGTGAGGCAGCACACGAAGCCCAGTGTGACCCACATCACTACCTGGACATGGGAACGGGGGGGGCCGGGCTACTGGACAAGGTGGAAGAGGGTTTCCTCTATGGCCGCGTCCATGGGGCCGGTCACATCTTGTTAACGCGTTGCTGTTTTCCGTCGCGCAGTGATCTCCCAGCCCTCCCTGAAGCCATCAGATAAAACGGATCGGCTGGGGATTAACCGGGAGGTTATTTTCATGCGGGTGCTTATTGCTTCCTGGAATCACACACAGAGAGGGTTTCGTTCTTCCTCCTGCCAGACATTTCAGTTCCTATAGAAAGCCAGCTTCTATTTTGTGAAACAAAAGCTCTCTTTTGGAATATCTATACCTAGCAAAATTTTAACAAGTCTTCTTTTTTTTTAAGTATCTGGCCTTCTGGAGTGACCTTCCTCAATGTCAAATGACTCTCACTAATGCCAAGGGTCTCAAACTGTGGGTAAGGACCCCAAAGTGGGTTGCCACAGGTGGGTCACAAGCAATGCTCCCTCTAAGCTGTGGAGTCTTGTGAGCAAAAATTCTATTTTGTGAGCTACTGGCTTTAAAGTTGTGAGCAAGCGATTTAGCTACTGCATTAAATTAGTTTGCTCTGGAGCCATCCTTCCTGAGTGAAGACAAAAATGTGTGAGCTGGAGGCTTAAAAACTGTGAGCTAGCTCACACTAACTCAGCTTAGAGGGAACACTGGTCACACTGACAAGGCCTGGGGGGGAAGAACAGGGTCTGCTGGGAGAGGAAACAAATTTGGGTTTGACTTGGCATCATATGTGAAGTTATGTGGGAAAACACCGTGTTAAAACAAAACACACAATTCTGATATACTACTATGTCTTCATATATTCGTTTAAATCATATATTTAAATATACAATGAAGCTCCTAGTGTATCTTATTAATCATGGTACATTGATAACAAAAACCTAAAGAACAATTTATATCTTGTAGAAAAGTCCACAGCTGCAGAGACAAATATACAGACAGGATTAAATGCTGTAGACTGTCTTCCTTTCTGATGAGAGATTATGAGAGATGCAGCAGTCATCAGTGCCAATGTTGTAGGCTGTTTTGCTTTCCGAAAAGAGATACAGCAAGTATCAAAGCAACATGCCTCCCAGGCAAAAGCTGCGTGTTTCAAGAAATTTTTCAGGCAAGTTATTTTTCCTGGAACCAAAGCTCACAATGCTACAATGCACAAGTCAAACAACTCTGTAGAAGGTTTATCTGGTTCTCCATGTTTGCTCAACCTTGCTATGTTTCCCGTGTATTTCTCATATGTGAAGTGCCTATGAAATACAGCCCATTGCTTCATAACGCTGTATCATTATGTTGTTGTTGTTGTTCAGTCGCACAGTCGAGTCCGACTCTTCGCGACCCCATGGACCAGATCACGCCAGGCCTTCTGGTCTTCTGCCGTCCTCTGAAGTTTGCTCAACTTCATGTTCGTTGCATCTATGACACTGTCTAACCATCTCATCCTTTGCCGTCCCCGTTTTCTTTGACCTTCAATCTTTCCCAGCATCAGGGTCTTCTCCAGTGAGTGCTCCCTTCTCATTTGGTGGCCAAAGTATTTGAGCTTCAGTTTCATTATCTGGCCTTCCAGGGAACAGTCAGGGTTGATTTCTTTTAGGTGTATCATTATAATGACCACAAATTAAAAACAAAATCTGAACTGTTAAGGTTTATCTGATGTGATATCCTTGCATTTTATGTTGGGGAGAGGGAAAACAGTGTGGAGTGACTTTTCAAGTGCATTGTGAAAAGCAGGTTTAAAAGTGGGTCCCACTTCGAACATCTAGAAATGCCTGAACCGGAGCCATTCTACAGATAGGGAGTATGCTAAAATACTTGAAAGGATGGATGATAATTACAGTTTCATAGTATTGTAGGGTTTTGTCTTCTTCTTTTTTTAATCTTGGGGGAAATGAGTAATAGAGCAACGAAGAGCTCTGGAATTGGGCTGAATGCAAAAAGGTGGACAAACATTTATCACAAACCTGGAAATCCTGAATTCAAACCTTGCTTGGATCCTGTCAGCATTTCCACGGGCACGATAAAGGAGCAATGTCACTGATCCCCCTTGGAAACTCTTACTGGGGTGGGGGTGCTTGGGGCTGTGGTGGTTGGCAGGAATCAGCAAATATTCCCCCCTTCCTTTTCATCCATGGAAATCCAGTTAAAATCCAACCCCAGGATATCAGGATGTGATGATGTCACTTCCAGGTCACATGGTCAGTGATGTAGAGACGTTGTTGTATGTTGGCTGGGCCTCCCTGCTGCTCCTGGTAAGTCTTCCCCCTTCATCCTCCACCAGTTAGCAGGAGGGACCTCACAACCCTAGGAGGGACTGTATCAGATAAGGTAATGATTGTTTACTGCTTTGGCACCTTAAATACTGATGTTCAACTAATAAGAGGTTTTTATGAGAAAATAATACATACAAAACACACAGTGAAGCAAACATAGAATAGCTAACCAAGAAATAAAGGTGTTAACAGTGAAAAAGTGGTTTAGGATAGGCGATATTTACCAGTCTTGGAGATTCAGGTCTGTGGAGAGAGAGAAGTAGCCAGCGCTTCTGAGAGCGTGACTTTGATGCCAAGAAGCGAGTGAGCATCCATACTAAAGATGTGTTCATGTATTTATAGGAAAAATGTACCCTGGGGCAATATGACAGGTTTGCCCCTAAAACAATACCATAATGTGTTTACAGAAAGGTTCCCAGAGACTTGGACAAATGGCTGATGGTTCCCCACCACCACAGGAGAGAGATCAAAGTATTGAGCAGACCTTGATAGCCCCTCTGAAGGTAGGATGTGGCCGTTGATGTGCGTTGATGACCCAAAGTAGAGGATGGATGAAACTTTCAAGAGCTATGGATATGCTAACAAGGGTGTAGGTCCCAAAGGGGAAGCCATTACCAGGGGTGAAAGAGGCACCATCAAAGTATGGTGCTGCTTTCCTGAGAAATCCATTGTTATAAAATATGCATTACCTTTAGGTGGGAAATATTTGCTTGCAATTAAGTCCCTGGGTTCACTTCCAGATAATCTCCCAGGCTGGTATTCTGCTTGGCATTCCTTGTGGGGTCACAAGGCAGTGTGTTAGAATTAATATCTATCTGCAGTGATATTAGTATGAAGGGTGTTTGTATCTGTCTGTAACTGAGGATGATCGGGGGCCTGGAGACCAAGCCCTAAGAGGAAAGCCTGAGGGACTTGGGAATGTTTAGTCTGGAGAAGAGGAGCCTGAGGGGGGGTATGATTGCTGTCTTCAAGTATTTGAAGGGCTCTCATTTAAAGAGGGCAGGGAGCTGTTCCTGTTGGCAGCAGAGGATAAGACTGGCAAGAAGGAGGAGGAGGAGGAGGAGATTGGATTTATACCCCGCCCTTCACTCGAAGTCTCAGAGCGGCTGACAAACTCCTTTCCCTTCCTCTCCCCACAACAGACACCCTGTGAGGTAGGTGGGGTGGGTGGGGCTGAGAGAACTCTGACACAAACTGCTCTTTTTCAAGGACAGCTGTGCCAGAGCTTGTGACTGACCCAAGGTCACATCAGCCAGGTGCAAGTGGAGGAGTGGGGAATAAAACCCGGTTCTCCCAGATTAGAGTCCACACACTTAACCACTACACCAAACCGGCTGTAATTTAATGGGTTTAAATTAAGGGCGGGGAGGTACCAGCTGGATAGTAGGGAAAAACTTTTTTACAGTAAGGGTTGTGCCACAGTGGAATCAGCTGCCTCAGGAGGTGGTGAGCTCCCCCTCACTGGCAGTCTTGAAGCAGCGGCTGGACAAACACTTGTCAGGGATGCTCTAGGATGATCCTGTGTTGAGCAGGGGGTTGGATTAGATGACCTGTATGGCCCCTTCCAACTCTGGTTGATCCTATGATTCTACCACCACCAAGCTGCCAATCTGAAAGAGAACTGACTGCTAACAAGAGTCTAGATCACTGGCCTTCAGTTTCCAGACTTGGGACTCATTGAGCCGTGAGCGTGTGAAAGGTAAGGCTATCAGTCTGGCAGTGGCAGTGACCTGGGCCTCCATATAAAGACACGTCCTCTCTTCTGAGTTCCCTCTTCAAACTCCACCATCCCCCAGCACCAGCCTCAAATCTCCAGGAGTTTCCCAAGCCAGAGTCGACCACCCTGGTCTGATAGAAGGTCACATGATGGGCAGACTTACGGCCTTACTGGTGTCAAGGCTAGCACCAGGAGGTGTCCTGTAATGTGGAACAGGCCAAGGGTCAGAGCCACGAAGGAATCCTCTGCACCTCGTTGGGTGATGTTGCTCACCAACAGGGGTTGTTTCGTAGAAAAAGAGCTAGGGGGACTCATTATCATAACTCATTAGCATATGCCACACCCCCTGACATCACCGGAAGTGTGTCATAAGGCCACACGCCCCACCCCCAACGGTCCCGGCCGCCGATGGCAGCCTTGCAGCTCCACTGCCAAGCCCCATGAGGGGCCCGGCGGTGGACCTGCAAGGCCGGCGGGAGTGCAAGGAAGCCCCACAAAGGCCCTCCCTGGCCCCAGGCAGGCAAGGGTGGGGAGAGGCAGGGAGGAAGCAACTTACCCTCCCTCTTCTCCTGCCTCCTCCTTGCTGAATGAGGGCTGGAAGCGGGGCAGCCGGAAGCAGGGGGCGAGGCTTCGTCATGTGCCCCGCCCCCCATACCTCACCCGGGGGAACTGCGATCCCCCGCGATCCCCCCTGAAATGACCTCTGCTCACCAAGGAAGACATGAGGCATTGTGCACTTGATCTACACATGTGTACTAGCAGCAGGGTCTCCCCAAAAAAAGCAAAAAATGGTAGCTCAGTAAAGGGCTTGAAACCCAGCAGATAGGGCTCTGAGATCCACCTGAGGGCCCAGACCCATGGGTTGAAGAGCAATGGTCTAGACCAGGGATCCCCAACATGGTACTCACCGACACACCTTTTCTGGTGCCCACCAAGTGTTTTTTAGGAAGTGGGTGGGACCAGGTAGGGCTTTTGCCCAGCAAGG